CTGTTCCTACAGATCAGCCCAAAGCTGACGTTACACTGTACCACCTGGTCCAGTTCCCGCAGAGGTGTGTCTGGCTGCAGCTCAGAGCGACACTGGATGTCCACCGGGACCTGGCAGAAGGCATTGCCGGCTGCTCGGATGTTGTCATAGGTCTCAAAGTCCCCTCCAGAGAGCCCAGGCACGGGGTAGCTCTCATCAAACCAGTCCGTCCAGGTGCAGCGGGGCTCACACACGGTTCCAGTCGATGTGACCATGGTGGTGACGGTAGGACTTCGTGTCGGGAATCCAGAGGAGATGGTTCTCCCTGAGGTGGGCCTGGAGCCCAGGGTGGGGACCAGGGGTGTGGTGGTCAGGACGGGTGTGGAGGCCAAACTGGATGAGGATGACTTGGCTGCGGTTGTGGGGGATCTGGGCGTGGGCTGAGACGACGTCTGGATAGTGACCACTTCAGCAGTGCTGGATGAGATGTGAGGCATGTGTGTGGTGGCTGAGGTTGAGGGGACCCCGGATGACCTGAGAGAGTGAGCCGTGGGTTTGCTGGAGGTGGGGGTGCTGGTTTGGGGGACTTGTGTTAGAGTGTTGGAGGTGGAGGTGTGGACCGGTGGTACTGAGGCCCGCGTGGTAGTCGTGACAGATCCTGTCATGGTGATGGTAGAAGTACGAGTGGATGTTGATCCAGCTGTGGTTCCACAGTGCCTGTAATCGTCACAGCAGAGCACACGCACATTGTAGTTGAAGCACATGTTGAATCGGCCTTGCTGATCCTCGTTTCTACAGACCAGCCCTTCCTGCAGGCTGCAGCTGAGCACCTGTCCAATCTGGTCCAGGCTGACCTCAGGGTAGTTCTCTGCGCGACACTCGATCTTCTCGGGCACACGGCACATCTTCCCCCCAGCTGCCCTGATATTGTCAAATGTCTCTATGTCACCTCCAGAGACCCCTGAGGTTGGGAAGTCCACGTCAAACCATTCGGTCCACTCGCACCTGGGCTGACAGCTCGTTGTTCCCTGGATTATGGTGCCTGTGGTCTTGGTCAGCTGTGTCTCCTTGGATGTGGTGCTGGGAGCCCCCGGTGATGTTCCCGTTATTGGGGGCACAGTGGGACTTGTTCTTGCTGGTGATACAGATGTAGGCATCTGGGAAGTGTTCAGGGTGGTGTGCGTTGGAGGCACTGAGGTGGAGCCCGGGTGCGTTGATGTCTCCAGGGGAGGTGTAGGGACCTCTGTACCCGTGCTCCCAGGAGTGGACATGAAGTGTGTGTGGCTAGAGCTGGACTGAGAAGTTGGCCCGGCTGAGGGGAAGGGCCTTTGGGTGGTGCTGGCTAGGGGGCTTGTGTGTTCCTCACAGTGGTTCTGGCTGCAGCATAGCAAACGGATTCTATAGTTGTAGCACATGCGGAACGCGCCTTTCTGTTCGTCATTCCTGCAGACCAGGCCGAAACTGGCATCACAGTGGACTGTCTGACCCACCTGCTGGAGTGTGCTGTTGGGAAAGTTCTCCGCCTGGCACTCTATGTCCTGTGGCTGCTCACATATGTCCCCTCCCGCTCTGCGGATTTTGTCATAGGACTCAATGTCCCCCCCAGCCTCTTCGGACTTGGGGTAGTCCTCATCAAACCACCCTGTCCACTGACACTTAGGCTGACAGGCGGTGGTGCCTGGGGACTCAGAGCTCCTGACAGACTGGCTCATGGTCATTGTGGCTGAGGTCAACTGAGTCTGCAACGTCAAGGCTGCGGTGGACTTGGAGTTCGGAGTGGACTGTAAAGTCGTCTCTCTCGTGTAAATGATTTGGGTCGTGGTGGGCAAGTACTTGGGTGGAGTTGTCTCCGTCTTGGGGATGGACACCGGGGTCTCCGTGGTGGCCGTGGGCTGAGTAGTGACACTCGAGAATGGTGAGGGACTTGTGTGCAGGCTTGTGGATGGGCCACAGGGCTCAAGAACGCAGCATTGGATCCTGAGTTCGTAGTTGTGGCAGAGAGGGGGGCTCTGTTCACGGTTGAGACACGTCAGCCCGTGGGCTCGATCACAGTCCACCCGCTGGCCTAATTCCTCCAGGCTAGCTTTGGGGAAGGACGCTGCTCTGCACTCAATGTCTGCTGGCAGGCCACACACCTGGTACCCCCTCTGCCTCAGGTCCTGCAATGTCTCGAAGTCCCCGCCTTCCATCCCAGGCTCTGGGTGATTGCTGTCATACCAGTCTGACCAGATGCAGACTTCCCGCACACACATGGTGGGGGTCACTGAGCCTGGGGAGAGCATCAAGGGTAAGGGGGAGGAGGGCATCAGGGGGAGGGGCAGTTCCGGGGGAGGGACCTCCTTCACTGGGAGTTGACAGATGCTCTTGGGCCCCAGTGCTGGCCCCCAAGCCTCTGGGGATATAAAGGGGATCCCTAGGCAGGTCCCAGACTGAGATCGGGCCAGTTGGAGTGATGGACCCTTGACCAGGATTTGGTTCAGGCAGTGCTAGGAACCGAGTGGGTCTGGGAGGGCTGCTATCTCCCTTTGGGGGTGGCCCCTGCCAATCACAGTGAGGAAAGCATGTGGAAATGGGGGGCTGGGGGGCTAGAGGGACCTGGGCTGCCCTGGTGGCTGGCACAGATAGCCCAGTGACTGGCTGAGGTTTGTCTGGTTGTCTAGACGCAACCAGGGATGATGATGGGATCTCCTCAGGGTGAGTCCGAGTTGGGGCATGAGAATGACCCCTGTCTCCCAGTCCCCCAGCCTAGCTGCCCGGGGCTCACCTGCTGTGGATGGTGGTGTTGCCGTGCTACTAAAGATGAATGGTGTTGTGGGTGAGGTTCCTGGACAGTCTACCACATTCCGGTGTATGGTCCCGTTGTCCCCACAGATGGCAACTAGGCAGGCGCCCAGCCCGTCCGTGGTGTTGTAGACCACATCCTTGTAGCCAAATGTCTTGCCTTCGTAGGTGCACGTGCAGGCTGTGGGCGTCCAGGTGTGGGCTTACTTGGAGCCCCAGCCCTCCAGTACCCTCAGCCCCTGCTAGGCCTCCAGCTCCCAGGCAAGCCCAGCCCTCCTTCCTTACCCTCAAGGCTGTGTTCGCATTGGATGCCGCTGGAGGTACAGGTACTAGGGTGTAGGAAGGGAGAGTTGCGGGGTCTGCATACTGTCCTGCCCTGCTCCATGTTCCCACCCTGTCTTGCCCTGGAGTTCACACACACACACACCTGGAGCCCAGCCCCCAGCCCCCTCACCAGCTCTGGCAGTTCTCGGCAGTGGCCACCTTGGCATTGACCTCGTGGTAATTTCCATCCACATCATAGCAGCCACACTGGGCTACACACTTCATCTCGTCCTCACTGAAGAACGGCTTGCTGGGCGGGCACTTGGGGTAGCAGCCTGGGGCCAGTGGAGCACAGGGTCACCCGGGATCTTTTACCCTTGCATTCAGGGGTAAGTGCTGCCCCCACCCACCTGCAGGCTCTGTCCTCCCCTATCCTGGGGTGGTGCAGGACCAGTGGGGACTCTCAAAGAGGCACTGCCCTGAGCAGATGGGCACGGCAGCCAAGAACCATGTTTGGAAAGGGGAGAGGCAGTGGTAGATGCCCCACTGCCCTGGCGCCTGGGGACTATCCCCCAGCCACCTCCCCTCCTCCATGGGAAGCATCCACCCCTCACCTTCCAGGCCGGGTAGGTTGTGGAGGCAGCGCCCGCTGGGGTTGCGGCAGGTCCGCATACAGGGTGCCCCGCACGGCTGGTAGTGCCATTCACACTCCCCGTGGGGGTTGTAGTAGTCACAGAACAAAGCTGGGGGCGGGAACACAGAATCAGAGCGGGCCTTCCTCTCCTGGGTGGACTGAACAGAACCCGCCATTCCCTGGACGTTGCTCTATGGGGGTCTGTACCCCCAGATCCTGCCCTCGGAGTTTCTACCTTTTGCTGAGCCATCTTGTGTTGGAGATTCCCTGACTGGCTTCAAGCGGATCTACACCTGCGCGGACCAGGCCTCCTCCCTGACTCCCTGACTCCGCCCCTTCAGCACCGCGGACAGAGCCCGACTCACGGCAGACTTCCGGGCTGCGCCAGGACACGCACACGCCGGCGTCGTGGCAGGCCTGGGCGTAGGCGGCCACGGCTGTGCAGAAGCACTCGCAGTCTCCGCCCGAGTCGCAGGCGCAGGCATCGCTCACGCAGGCTTCGTAGTACTTGGTGGAGTCGACCTGTGAGCAGAGGCAGCCGAGGTGGTGTCAGCAAAGACCCACTCAGACCGCAAGCCAGGGCAGGGGCCTGGATCTTATGTGACTTAATGCCCCACTGCCGATTTCCTTCTCTGGCTCCACCTCAGTCACCCACCTGGATGCCCAGAGCCTCCACTCACCTCCTCAGTCCCCGAATCCTAAACCTGATCCCAGGGCTGGGGAAGCGGAGACTAGGGTGAGTCTTCAGGGTTGAAAGGCAGACTTTCAGCCCACCACCCTGCCCACTGAGACTGTGATGACCATTTCATCATTTCGTCCCTGGGATGTTGCCCCCACATAACCACATGACTCCCCATGACATCCAGGGATGTTTACAAACCACCTCCCAGGAGGTCCCCTCTCATGCCCATGCCCCACTGTCAGAGCCTGTCCCCTCTACAATGTAAGTTCTGGAGGGCAGGTGTACACCCTCACCTACAACATCTACCCACATTGAATCGACAGACCCAGAGTATGCCTTACATACAGAGCCTGAGCCAGGACTCCTAACCTTCTACTGAACCTACACACCTGCCAGGTGCCCACACATGTACCAGGTGCATGCCCTGAGTGGACCCAGCCGGCCCGGGTCCCAAGGCTCTTGCTTTCTCCATGAGCTCCAGGCAGTCCCATGGGACCTGGGATTGGCCTTGTCCCTCTAATAAAGACTTCTCAGGGTCAGTGAGACGTCTTTATAAGTTACCTCTCCAGAGACAACCTGGTAAGAGCAACTTAGGGCTCTCATCGCAGCAAAGACGTGGAAACTACAAACTATTCCTCCCATAAGCTGTCCCCTCCTGTCACCATTAAAATCTGGAATTACAAATCTATGGTCACAAGTGGTCACTTAAATCCTTGTTAAAATGAAGTGTTTGCCAGGGGCCGGGGAGGGAAATGGAGAGTTACTGTTTAATGTGTACAGTTGGGGGGATGGAGAAGTTGTGGAAATGGATCGTGGTGATGCTAATATAACATAGTGTACTTGTCACCCCTAAATAATTGTACTGTTAAAATGGTTAAAATGGTCAATTTTATGTAGTGTACATTTTGCCACAATAAAAAATAAATGCCGTGAGCCAAGGTGTTGAGAGTCTCTTCCTACTGTCTCTGCACAGCTGGGCTGAAAATGCTCCCCACCTTCCTTGTCATCTGTGGGGTTCAGGAAGTCTCAGGTTGTAAGTGACCGTGGCCAGGTCTGCCTGTGCAGTCCCTGCTCTGGGCACTCTCCCCTGCAGTGTCCTCACCAGGAGCCAGTTTCTCAGGAAGAGGTGGGAAGCAGGAGACACCTGGCACAGAAACTGCCTGGTGGGAGGTTCAGACCCAAGACCCATGCTCTGGTTTGACTTCTGGGCTCCCGAAGGTCAAGTGGAAACCTTTACCCTATAAATAGGAATGTGAACCTATTTGGAAATAGGGTTTCTTATATTATGATAATGAGGACACATAGGGCTGGTCCTAAACCTAACCCCTTCTAAGTCTTGTTGTTGTTGTTGTCATGTGCTGTGGAATTGGTTCCGACTCATAGCGACCCTGAACAGGGTTTCTGAGGCTGTAAATCTTTACGGGAGCAGAAAGCCTCATCTTTCTCCCGCGGAACAGCTGGTAGTTTCGAACTGCTGACCTTGCGATTCGCAGCCCAATTCGTAACCACTACACTATGTCTTGTAAATTGGTCCTAAAGCTAATCCCTTCTAAATCTTGAAAGTTGGTCCTAACCCTAATCCCTTCTAAGTCTTGTCAGTTGCCATGGAAACCCCATGGACAGCAGAGCACCAGATTACCCCGTCCTGCGCCATCTTCTCGACTGCAGAGGAAAGACCTGCCATACGAGGACCTATCTACAAACTGAGATTGCCAAAGATTGCCAGCAGCCCCCCAGAAGGAATCCAGATGGCTGCCCTTGGTTTGGCCTTCCACCCCCCAGAACTATGGAATGATTAAGTTGCCTCTTTGTGGTGTTTTGGTCACGGCAGCTCTAAGAGCCTGAGCCAGGATGGCAAGGTTGTCCTCAAAGGCCTGCCATGTGCCCAGCCCAGGTACCCCCTGGAACCCAAGCACCTCTCTAAGGCCCTGTCTGACAACCCCCAACCATCCCAAACCCCACCTGAGACTGGCAGGCAGCAAAGGTGGCACTGTGGAGAATGCTGCATTGCTTCTGGGCCCAAGACTTGCGGTACGGGTTGGCAGTACAGGGGTCCCTGGGGGCGAGGGCGTCTGGGCAGGTTGGTGAGAACTTCCAGCTGTTACCGAATTCCAGCACGTCGCCCACCACGGACTGGCTCCGCGTAGTAAAGTCGTTGATGGCATTGCCATCGAAGTTGCCGCACAGCCCACACACTTTCCCCTGTGGACAGGGGAAGACAGATGCAGCAGGTGGATACAGGTGGCCAACCATGCAAGGCAGCGTGGAACCTGGCCTGGGGTCACCACAGGACACCTGGAGCCTCCAGACAGCTCCCCAGGGCTCATAGGAAGGTGAACAGTGAGTTCTCTGGGCAGCTGAGCAGGTGGACAGGTACCTGCTCCATCAAAGCCTCCAGCCCAGCAGGTATGGCCGTGCCAGGCTGGGCACTCACGTTACCAATAGAAGGGTTCTCCCAGATGCTGGTTTGGTCTCAGCACTGCCCCTTTGTGGAGTCTCACCCCAGGCCCGGGTCTTCCCCTGTGATGTCCAGCCCACTGGTGGTTGCCAGGTATAGGGCTCCGTAATGTCCTCTGGGGTGGACGGGTCCCAGGGCAGCCATGCTCACCTGGTAGCTCGGATGCAGCCTGATGAATATGCTGGTCTTCCGGTCCCATGACACAATCAGCCCGCTGCGGGCCTCAATGACCAGGTAGATGCCCATGTAGCGAATCTTGTAGGGTAGGTCTCCGCTGGGCCCCCTCTCCACCACCTTCATGTGCCCCTCAGTGAGGATCAGTTCATAGCTCTGCAGAGGGAGGTGGGAGGTGGCAGGGAGCTGACCCTTGGGGTCCTAGAGAGGACCACAGCCCATCACAGCTAGTGGGCTCAGCTGTCAGCATGAGGCCAGGGGACTGGAAGGAAGGGCTAAGCCAGCAGGCCTGGCTGCCTGGTACTGATGGCTCTTGGGAGGGGACCTTTAAGCTTGTGCCATCTGATAAGAGTGTCTGTTCACCTGAGACCATAATACAGTTATGGTGGGCGCCTTGGGCCACATGGCATCAGTCTGACCTTTGGGTGACCTGGACACTGAGGAGCTACGGTCAGCCATGTGGATGGTCCGTAACACCTAGGTGACTGACCCATGGAATAAAGCCTGGGCACAGACACCCAGAGCCCACCCAAACCTCACCCCGGCCTCGCCTCTACCAACCCTTGAGAGCTGCATGGACCTCATGTCCACCCCACCCTGGGCAGTGGAGACATTGTTGGCCACAGGATTGTTTTCCACACCGTGGTCCTGATGCGTCTGCTGGAAGTGGGTCCCCTTGGCCCACGCCCTAGCCCCAGGAGCTCAGCATGTGGTCTTATTCTGTGGGTGTGATGATGAGAAAGTCAGAAGCGGTTACCCTGGACTGGGTGGGGCGGAGGGTCAGACCAGTGATAGATGAGCTTATGACATATACCGAGAGGGGAGACACAGGGAGAAAGACACAGAGAGAGAAGAGACAGTGAGAGAAGAGACAGAGAAAAGAGAGAGAAAGATTAGAGAGGAGAGACAGAGAGATGAGAGACAGATAGGAGAGACAGATAGGAGAGACAGAGAGGAGAGACAGAGAGGAGAGACAGAAAGATGAGAGACAGAGAGAAGGAGAGACAGAGAGGAGAGACAGGAAAACAGAGAGATGAGAGACAGAGGTAGAGGCAGGAAGAGGAGAGCAGATGCCTCGGGATGATCACAGGATGCCTGAGGTCAGCAGCAGCTGGCAGTGAGGAGAGAGCCCTCCCTTAGAGCCTTGCTGGCTCTTGGCATTCAGGCTCGACGCCTCCTTAACACGGAGGAGAGCAGAGCCAGCTGTTGCTCTTGCCTGACTTGTGAAAATGTGTTTCTGCAGCTGCGGGGACTCAGCTACGTGGGGCCATTGAGGACCATCCGTGGTGGCCCTGGGGTGCAGATGGAGGGGAAGGCACTGGACGGCTGCTCCTCACCTCCAGGAAGATTTTGATGGCCTTGGAGCAGGTGACACCTGTGGTCCCACAGGGGATGTTCTCAGTGACAATCCGGAAGTTTCCGTTGTTGGTAGCGTTGCCAGCGCAGTAGTCCTGGGCCGGGAAGAGGTGAGCATGAGTGGATGGCGGTGGGGAGGGCTGGGTGGGGGTGGCCTGGAGGACGGGGGCAGGAGCACACCTGGGCTAACATGTACTTGCAGTCGCCTTCGAAGTTGTAACGTCCACCATCAAAGGTGATGAAGTGCCCGTCCCCATAGGCCACACAGGTGCCCAGGCAGGGCTGGCTGGTACACTCCCATCTCCGGTTCTTGCACGTGCTGCAGGGATGTGGGTGGGGGAGGGGTGGGTACACTCTGCTCAGCCAGAGAACCCCTGACCACCACAGCCACAACCCTGGCTTATCAGGTCCCAGTTTGGGGGCCTTAGCCAGTCACTACACCTCCTGATACTCAGTACCATCACCCCAGAGGCTGAAACAAAATGATACCTCCAGGCTTGTTAAGTGGACAGAAGTGGTCAGTTTCCGTTACGATCCCTAGCCCCTGATCTAAAAGGACAGATGACCTCAGAGGTCAGTGTTGGCCGGCCCCATGATGGACTAGGCCAGGAGACTGTGGTCCCCATGGGCACTCTCAGAAAACTATGAAGACACTGAATCTCCAAGGCCCTCTCCTGCAAAGGTTAGCTCCGGCCAGCTGCTCCTGTGGTCACAGGCTGGCCATCTCTCTGTCCCCCATCCCTTTCCTGTGTATGCTCCAGCAAAGGGACCTTCCCACCACCCCTCCCTGTCTGCGGGACTCTGGACCCACCAGGTGTTGCAGTCAACGCTGATGGTGTCCCCAGGCTGGTACGTGGCTTCGTTGTGCACACAAGGACAATCTTCCTGGGCAATACACCCCCCATTGCCATCTGATACCAGCCCTGGAGGACAGACGCAGCCAGAGACGCAGTGTGTGCTGTACTGTGGGGGCAGGAAGCAATGGTCAGGGCCAAGGAGGTAGCTCGCCGGTCCCTCCCCTCATGTTGGGGACACCATGGTGATGTGACAATGTGCCGTCCCAAAGTCCACACCAAGGGCAAGGCATGCAGGGCTGGGGTATCCCTGTGTCAACAAACCCAGAGGGACAGGGATGAGTCAAGGATGGCTGTATGGCTGTCCCCACCTTCCCACAGGCCACTTACACAGTCCACATCGAGCGTGTGGCAACTACGCAGACACTCAGCCCCGAGGGCACCCGCTGAGGCATTGCTGCAGTTCACATACACCATAGGGGGTGTGCACCCTGGGTGGGGAGAGCAAGCCCAACTAGTCAGCTCTGTGGCGTCTCCCACCCCATCTGAGCACCCAGCCCCAGCCTAAAGGAGAAGACCCTCCCTTCTCTTTGGGAGTACCAGCAGCAGGGTCCAGGATGGGGGATTTGCCAGGGGGCAGTCCAGGGCTCACGTGAGGTGGGGACTTAGGGGGATGGTCATTACCTGTGCTGCTTTGCACCAAGGCTCCCAGGCAACTCAGCTTCCCACTCGAGCATGAACTATGAGAGACAGACAGACAAATGATGGGAATCCACACCCTCCACCTCCACCAGGCCTCCGTAAACGATGGGGATGAGGGAATACAGGAGAAAGGGCAGGGACGTGAGGAGGGGCCCTTGACTGTGAGGGGTCAGAGTTGGGGCAGTGTGGGCACCCCTCCCTGGCCTCATGCACTCTACCTGCCCCACCTCTGCCCCCTTAGACCCCTGGGAGCTAGGAAAGGACATCCCCTTTCTACAGATGGGTTCATGGTGGAGCAAGGGAACACTGATTTGGGGCCTCTTAGACTCCTATCCTCTCCCTGGGGAGGCTCTCAGGGTTTTGAGCAAGAGCACAGCCCCCTGACAGCCTGGGAGAAGGAATGTCACACAGGAGGTGGGGACCAGAAGGGGTATGTAGTGGGGCCCCTTCAAGGGCACTGGTGGGTACCCCAGGGGCAGGACAGGAAGGAGATCAGCAGGAGAAGGCCCAGAGCATGGTTTGGGGTGCAAGGATTCTGCTCCCCGGCACCTCCTCATCCATGTGGTGGCTCTGCGCACATCCTACAGACCTAGCAAAAATGCAGCAGCCCCCAGGGATCTCTGCCCCAGACCTTTGATGGCCCCATCTCAGGGTGGTGCTGATGGAGACACAGTTCCTGACGCCCCACCATTTCCTGTCTGCCCCCCACCCACATACATTCAGCAATCTGAGGACATGGGCTGGCTCTCGGGGACCTGTCCTCCCCCCTGCACTGCCTGCCTGACGGTGCTTCTTACCATACCACGCCGTTATCATGCACCACCTCGCCTGGGGCCACCACGGTGCCACGCAGGTAGCAGGGGCATTCTTGGGCAGGCACACATGTGCCGGCGTCATCCAGGTAGGTGCCCACAGGGCAGGTACAGCCATCCACGGGCACAAAGGAGATGCCACAGGTGACGTCCACCTCACTGAGAGATCGGCAGGTGGGCTGGCAGGTGTCCACCACATACTCGTAGCTCTGGGACTTGGGGCAGCTGCTCATGTACTTGGCTGGAGTCAGAGGGAGGCAGTGTGGTCAGGGCTGCGGCCCAGTTCTTACTTAAGTGTTCCAGGCCTCAGTTTCTCCCCTGCAACCCTCCAGTGATAAGAGTCTGAGGTTTTTGTGAAGGCCTCTTGATTCAGGATTCAGCTGGGGTTTGAGACAGTCACTGCCTCCTCCCAGAGAGGCCTGGTCAGGGGTGTCCCCACCTGCCCTCCCTGACTGACAGTGTCGAGGTAGGTCAGTGGCAGATACCAGGAAAAGGGGACACTCGTGGGCAGATTTGGGACTTTTCACCAGAGTCCCCAGCCTCCAGCTCATGTCTGCCCCCATGCTAGTACGCACGCCCAGAGGTGCGTGGAATGCGTGCAGAGCCCCTCTGACAGGCAAAGGAGGGGAGCGTGTGCCGGAGCCCAGCTGCTCCAGTGACCGCGGTGCCGCCCACTCACCGCACACGCCCTCCCTCCATCCGTTCAGCAGCACGCCCTTGGCGGCGCATGCGCGCACGTAGGCGGACAACGCGGCACACAGACAGTCCTCGCTCTTCTCGCAGTTGCACGTGTCGAACATGCAGTTCTGGGAGCGAGAGAGGGGAGCGTCAGGGCGCTGCCAATGACCCTAGCCCACGGGACTCCCTCCTCTCGTCCCCGTCAGGCACCCTTTTGGCTTAGTCCTGTGATTGGGAGGCAGGCGCGGTGGCCAGGCAGGGAGATGGCCTGGAGGGACAGCCAGAACTCCGTCTGAAAAACTGGCCAGTGGGCAGAAAGCCAACCCAGAATCGAGCTATGTGGTGGGACTTGGGGTGGGTGCTGAGGAGTCCGCAGGGAAGTCGTGAGGTCGGGGTGGGGGGACACACTGGTGGGGGTCTTAGCTTGCATTTTGGACACATCACTCTAGTTGGGCTGCCAGAGGTGACAGGGAGGGGGCGTACAGACTACGGGCAGGAGACCTGTGGGGAGGGGGTAGTCGGGGTGAATGGGAGGGATACAGGCGTCCAGGACCTGGGTGGGTGCCTGGGAAGATGAAGGTGGCCCCTAGTGGGTGTGGAGGGCTGAAGCTGACCCAGGGTTTGCATCTGGAGACCACCCCCTCCCCACTCCCAGGACAAGGCCTGTGCATGACAGAGCTGTCCTTCCAGAGGTCTGTCCACCTGGTCAGAACTGAGTGTACAACCAATAGGGGTGGGGGATGCCCATGAGAGAAGACCGTGAAGGGAAGTCTTGAGGCAGGTACTGCCTTCATCCTCTCCTCCCCACCCCACGCTGGTGGGCGGTGCTTACCGAGTGGAAAGATGCAGGGCTGACAATGGAATGGCAGGGGGCGAAGGCGCCCGTGGGGTTGGTCAGCATGGAGCACCAGTGCTGGGCATACTTCTCTGGTGGGGACATGGGACAGGGGCCACAGTCACCCTGGCAGCTCGGGCTGGCGGCTGGCTTTGCACACGGTCTTGCAATCCTGCACCTGCCCAACCCCCCATACCCCGTAACCCTCAAACACAGCCTGGTGGGGACCTTTACCCCAGGACTGTGGATTAGAAGTTGGGACTCAGAGAAGGGAACATATAGTCACCCACCAATCCATGAGGTGCTGCTTCCAGGAAGAGGGCAGACACCTTCCAGGAGGGGTTTCCACCTGGCCCCAGCCCAACACCTCCCACCTGTCCACCCCATCCCCCACCATTTCAGCCTGCACACCTATCCACAAGGGTCCTCCCAAGCCCAGTCACCCGGATGGGATACCGTTCTCCACGCTGAGGGAGCAGGGGTCCTCAAAGATGTTCTTGGAGTTGGGGCAGGCAGCCTGGGTCTTCCAAGTGTTGGCGAAGGCCGAGCCTGTGCCCTCCACCACCCCGCTGAGGGCTGTGAAGTCATCTGCCTGGTTCTGGTTGAAGTTCCCACATAGGCCTGGTGGCCAGGTGGGCAGGGGGTGGGCATTAGCGGGCATCCAACCTCACCTGGTCCCCCAGCACCACCAGAAAAAGATCCTCCTCCTGGGATCTCGTTCCCAGCCTCTTCTCAACCCACCTGATGTGGGCAGTGAGGCTCCCGCTGGGTCCACCACACAGTGCCAGTCTAGCTATGACAAGTCCCCAAGCCTCCCAAATGGAGCCCCACCCAACCCTCCCTCAGCAGCACTCAGCCCAGCTAGCCCCAGTCTCCCAAGGGTCTCACCGCACATCTGACCACGGTGGGTCGGGTCCAGTCGGATATAAACCTGCATCAGGGGCACCAGCTGAACTTGCAACTGCAGCCCAAATCCCGTCTGCACCAGCACAAAGAAGGACGAGGGTTTGAAGGCCGTGATGTTGGCTGGACAGTGGGGGGGACGGAGTGGACATCAGGCCATACAGAGACCTGGACACACTCCCAGCCTCCCAATCAGCAAAGTGCCTGCCCCTACCACCATCTCTGGGAGCTGCCCAAGCAAACATCAGCCGTGAGTGAGGCTGATGGTCCCTGAAAGGGTGGGGCTGAGCACACCCCTGCCGTCTGGGGTCCATGGGGCATCTGGAACTGCCCAAGCCACAAAGAAGCCTCCAGGGGTAGATCCAGGCAGCTGGCCCAGGTGCTGGGAGCCATCCATGCTGGGCAGGCACTGGCTCCAGGTGTGGGTGACCGGCCATCCAGGGAACAGGTACCTGCTGATGTGGGCAGCTGGGTATAGATGGAGTTCATGAAAACCGCTCCATTGGCCTGGATCCGGATGGTCTAGCAAGAGAGGCAGGGGCCTTGTTAAGTGTCAGAGGTGGGGGCAGAACCTGTCGACTAGGCACCCCAGTTCCATTCCACAGATGGGGGAGTGGCCACTCAGTAGAGACAGAGCCTGTCTGAACCACAGTTCAGCTCTGGAACCATCCAGAAGGGGGCGTGGGGCTTTAAGGAGTCAGGTGTCAGACTCTCTATCTGTCTCTTTATCTGTCTGTCTGTCCATCTCTCCACCTGTCAGTCTCCCTATCTGTCTATTTCTCATCTGTCTCTCCACCTCTCCCTGCCTGTCTCCCATCTCTCCTCCAGTCTCTCTCCCATCCCTCCCCCTGTCTCTCCATGTCGCCCCATCTGTCTCCCATCTCTCCCCCAATCTGTCTCCCTCTGTCCATCTCCTGATCTGTCCACCTCTCTTTCCGTCTCTGCCGTCTCTGAGACTGCATCCTTGCCTTCCTCTTGCCCTGTGGCTGTTGCTGGCTCTCACCATGTCCCCGCCGTGCAGGCTGAGTGTCACCGACTTGAGGCAGCTCTCTGTGTCTGTGAGGCCACATCTCCGCAGCTCGGCCAGCACGGTGAACGTGCTATCATCACACCTCTGACAACAAAGACACAGACACATTGAGAATGGCATCTGTGGGCCCTGGGGCATCCACACAGGTGGGACAGAAGGCAGCCACCAGGCGAGCGCAAACCCAGGCTCTCCCTGTGAGGATGAGACCCCTTACAGAGCAGGAGGGCGGAGGGCTCAGAGCTGCACACGCACCTTGGACAGGATGTAGCTGCAGTCTCCATGCAGGTCATAAAGCTTCTCATCATAGGTGGAGATGTGTGAGCCCCCTTGGATGGAGCAGGTGCCTGGGCACGGGAGATCCTCACACTGCCACCGTCCCCCGGAGCAGGTGCTGGGGACAGGGGAGCATGAGTGGGGGACCAGGCAGACCCCAGACCTCATGCACCCCCATCACCCAGGGAGAGGGCCAGCTGGGTGGGCATCGGGGCATACCAGGAGCTGCAGGTGGTGGTGAAGGCAGCCCCTGGGGCATAGGTTCGACCACGGTAAGTACAGGGACACTGCTTCAGGGGCACACAGCCTGAGTGGGTGACGTCATCTAGCACCGTGCCTGAGGGCGGGAAGGGGGCAGTGAGCGACAGAGAGGATGAGCTGTGTCTGCCCAGCAGGTGAAGAAACTGAGCCCAGGTGTAACCCATCTGTCCCAGGCCCCAGAGCAACCCATGGGAGCTTGAAACCACCTGCCTGTCAGAAGAGGAGCCCAAGGCAATGGAATCTAGATCTGAAATCAGACCTCGGCCCCAGCCACACCTGGTTTGCACTGGTGTGGGCGAGCTCTGAGCTGCTCTGTGCCTCAGTTTCCCCACCTGTTCTGAGGGCCCATGGTGCTAGGTCTCCCTCCCCATCAGGTCAGCACATCTGCTTTCCTAACATTCAGTTCCCAACGTCGCAGGGAGGGTGACTTCGGAACCCATGGGCAGTGGCCAGCATGGGGCATTGGGGACACAGTGACCCAGGGCAGGGGTGGTCCCAGGTAAGGGACTCGGGGGACCTGCCTGGGGGACAGAAGCAGCCATCTTCACAGTGGTCGTCACAGAGCTGGGCTCGCTCAGGGTTGGAGCAGGTGTCGGTGCAGGGTGAGCCACACTCCTGATGCTGCATGCCCGCAGGGCATGTCTGGGCTGCGGTCAGATGGAGAGACGGGGAGGCAGGGAGAGAGGCCTTGAGCTGATCAGCCATACAGGGGGACCAGGCCCCCATCCCACCCTCCGAAAGCTGCACTGGAGCCCGAGGATTTGGCAGCCACCCACTGCTCCCTCAGCCGCCTCCTGGGTCAGGTAGGAGGGGTGGAGAACTCTCCGTGCCCACCCGAGAGCCCAGCTGCTTGCACACTCTCCTCCCACAGGACACTCACGGCAGAGGTCGGGGCCCCTCCAGTTCTGCGGCCTGCCGCCAGCGTGGGCACACTGGCGAGAGTACTCAGCAAAGGTAGCACACGGGCAGCTGGGGCATCGGCACAGGTCCTGGGCGCAGGAGGTCACGTATGGCTCAGGGTCCACCAGCTCGTTGCACTGGGCAAAGGCAGGGCCCAGCAGGGTGCGGCGGCAGGTGTCCTCCTGTGGAACAGGGTGGTCCTGAAGCCCTGACACCCCTACCTCCAGAGTTGATGCCACTCAGTCACAGCAGTACTGCCACCATCCACCCAGGATGGAGAGCCCCATTCCTTTCCCTGAGGCTTCTTCCTTCCTTTCTTTTTCCCTCCCTTCCTTCATCCCACCATCAGTTCATCCTTCGTCTCACTCAGCCATCCCACCATCCATTAGTCCATCGTCTGTCCGTCCATCCATCATCCATCTTCCCATCCTTAAACTTTCTTCTCTCCTCCTTCCCCTTTATCCCTTCCTCCATCCATCCTTCCCTCTCTCATTCCCTCCCTCCCTCCACCTTTCCTTGCATCTTTCCACCCATCCACTTACCTGCTCTAGATGCAGAGCTTGGTTTGGCTCTGGGCACATTAGCCACAGCATGTGTGGTTCTGTTCTGGGCAAACCTGGGTAGGAGATCCTGACCCTCTTTGTGTGGATCTCAGAGACCCCAGATAGACTCTCTGGGTCCCAATCACAGCCACTCAGTTGTCCCCATGCCAAGAGGCTCTGGGGGAGACACTCACCCCAATATCGGTACAGTTGGTGGCTGGGGTGGGCAGTGGGTCCTGGCACTGCTCAGTGGGCCCATCCAGTTTCTGCAGGTTCCCAAACTGGAGTGCCGTCAGCCTGACATCTGTGGAGACACAGACATGCTTAGGTGGCCTGAACAGGGGTACTGAGGGCCCAAAGGCACCTGCTCCAAGGGCTGACCACCAGGGCCCCCTGCTAGCACCCAGGGGCCCCTGTGGGGCCTTGTCTCCTGGCCTGGGGGCTCCTGGGGCTCCCAGGTGGGCAGCACTCACTGTGGACATAGAACTCGTTGGCGACAGGGAGGCCATTGAAATCTCCACACAGGCCACACGTCTGGTTGGCGTACTTGGGATCCAGCTCGAGCTGAGGGGATGGTGGGGTGCAGTTCCAAAACATAGCCTCCAACCCTATCACCCCCTGATGGCACCTACACCCCACCTGCCCCCATGCCCCCAGCTGGGCCTGAAGGTTCCATACAGCCAGGGTGGACGGGGCTCACCAGGGCACTGTCCCCTCCGTTCCAGAAGAAAGTCAGGACCATGCGGACACTGATCTTGATGTAACTGCTGCTGTGTTCCACCAGGAGGCCGGCGCGGCTGTAGGGCAGCTCCTCCCTGGGCCAGAGAGTTTGGTTCCACATGACCAGGATGACCCCTCATCCTCTACTGTGAGGGATGTCGTCCCGGGACTGCCTGGCCCACCCAGCCGCCTCTGCTCACCGCTGCCCGTTGACGAGCATTGAGCCGTTTGCGATCTCCAGCACCAGACCCTCCACCTTGAGGACGATGCGGCTGATGGTGGGCCTGGTGCCCATGAGCTCACGGCGCACCTGGACATTGAAGTCCTCATAGGCAGCACGGCAGTGCGAGGCCAGGACATAGTTGCAGAGGCCGGGGAATCGGAAGATGTCCCCATCGAAGGTCTTATAGTGGAAGTCGCCCCATGTGCTGCAGACCCGGCCATTGTGTGCTGGGTTCAAGGCTGGGGAGAGTGGGCATGAAAGGACACCCACCAACACCACCCATCCAGCCCCACCACCCACAGCAGCATTCCTGGGAGCAGAGTGACCTGCACAGTGTAACTGCCCCCTGGATCTCTGCAGAGACTCCCATCCTGACGTAGCCTCTGTCCTGCTGACCCTCAGTGCCTAAAGGACTGGCTATGAAAGGCCCTCAGGACCATGCTGTCTAGCTGCTGACCATCATGCTGTGATGTTGTCCCCCCAGACCCATGACCCTCCTCATCCACTTACTGCTTATGTCGGGGGACACCGTGATGGGTGGGATGAAGTTCACACGCTGGGCAGGTGGGAGAATTGACTGGGCTGCAGAACGAGGACAGAGTCACCTGGCGGTGAGGCCCAGCCAGGGGACTTCCAGAAGTGCCCTTCCTGGACTCCTCACTGGCTACTTTCAGGGGCCGTCATGCTGAGTGTGTGTGTCAATGTATTAGTCTGTGGTGTTTGAGTATGTCTATGTGTAAGGAGCTCTGGTAGCGTAATGGTTATGAATCAGGCTGTGAACCACAAGGTTAGTAGTTCGAAACTACCAGCTGTTCCACGGGAGAAAGATGGCGCTTTCTGCTCCCATAAAGATTTACAGCCTTGGAAACCCTGTACAGGGTCCCGGGTTGCTATGGGTTGGAATTGACTCGACAGCACTTAACAACAACAACATGTGTGAGGGAGTGCATGTGTGAGTGTGTGTGTGAACATATATGTGAGAGTGTGTATCTGTGTGCAAGTGTGGGTGCGTGCATGCACATGTGTGTGAGCATGTGTGTGAGTGCATGTAGGTAGATGTGTGGGTGAGTGTGTGACCATGTATGTGACTGTGTGTGTAGGTGTGTGTGAGTGTGTGAGCATGTATGTGAGTGTGCATGTAGGTGTGTGTGTGTGAGTGTGTAAGTGTGTATGTGAGTGGGCATGTAGTTGTGTGTGTGAGTGTGTGAGTGTGCATGTAGGTGGATGTGTGAGTGCATGTATGTGAGTGTGCATGTAGGTGGTTGGGTGAGTGAGTGCATATGTGTGAGTGTATGTGAGTGTGCATGTAGGTGGATGTGTGGATAAGGGCATTGTGTGTATAAGTGTGAATATGTGTGAATGTATGTGTGAATGTGTATTTGTGTGAGTACATGTGTCTAAGCATATTATTTGAGTGCATGTGAATGCATTGTGTGGGTATGTGCATGTGAGTGCGTGTGTGTGGTTTGTATGGAGCTTCATTGTGAATATACATGTGAGTGTGAAAGCAAACATGAGTATGAGTACATGTGTGGACATGTGAATGTGAGTGAATGTGAATGTGCATTTGTGTGAATTCATAGAGCATGCATGTGAGTGTGAGTACATATATGTGTGGATACATGGGTATGAGTACATTGTGAGCACATATGAGCTTTCATAAGCATACGTGTGTGTGAATACACATGTGAGCGCGGGCATGTGTTTTCATGTAGGCTCGTGTGTGGGCATGCATGTGGGTGTGCTCATGTGAACACACATGTACATCCGAGCATGTGTGTAGGCATGTGAGTGTGTTCTCTGTGTGTGTATGTGTAAACATGTATGTTGGTGTGTGTGAGTGTGTGTATGGACACACATATGAGTACATGCACATGTATGTGGGTGTGAATATGTGTGTGTGTGCGTTGATGTCTGAAAATAAATGTAAGCATGTGAGGCTATATGTGTGGGCATACACGTGGGTGTGAGTGAACACATGTGGATATGTGAATTTGGGTGCATCTGTGTGAGGATGTGTGTTCAAGTTCATGTATGTGAGTATGAGTACATACATGTATGAGTGTATTGTGTGCATTCATGTGAGCATTTGTGTGTACATACATGTGAGTGTGAGTACTTAAATGTGTGGATATGTGAGGAGTGCATGTGTGTATAGTTTGTGTGTGTAGGTTCATGTGTGAAAATAAATGTAAGTATGTGAGGACATGTGTGTGGACATACTTGTGAGTGTGCGTGCATGAATGTGTGGACTTGTGGGTATGGATACATGTGTGTGTAGGTTCATGTATGTGAACATACATGTGACTGTGAGTGTGTTTGTGAGCTTCTGCTATTTGGAGACCACATCTTGGTTTTTCGGAGGTTCTCATCATACCCTTTCCTCCCCCACACTGTCCCAGGTAGAAGGGACCGGAAGACACTGCATGTGATCTGGAGTTCAGTGGAACAGGGGTCCTCCCCACCTTCCCCCATGCCCACCCCACAGCCCTCAGTGCTAGAAGTTCCACCCTCCTCGAAGTGGTTGCCTACCTCTGTCCACCTTCTGACCATCCTCAACTTCTGTGTTCACCCAGCTTGGCTCCCTGTTGTCCTGGGTCTCTGTGGAGTCAGGTTAGGGTGCATGAGGGGCCATGCAAGTCCCCCAGGGAGGTGCCCCTGGTGGTGGCCAGCAGGCGCTGCCTGTCCTGAGGCTACGTCTGCTGAGCCATCAGGGCAGACACCTCCTGTCCAACGTGATGGCTAGCAAGGTCCAACCAGGCTGCAGGCTGACTGCCACCCTCCCCAGCTGTGGAATCAGGAAAGGGTGCCAGCCCATGAGCCCATCGTTTCAGGGAAGGTCAACCTCTAGGAAGGACAAAGACCGCTTTGTCAGGGAGAAGGATACAGACAGAAGGCCTGCAGGCGTGACTTAGCAGAAAACCAAGACCAGAGCCAAGCCCTCGTTACAGCCTTCTATCCTGTCCTGCATGTGGCCGCTGGGGGCCTGGGCTGTCCTCAGTCCACCTGACCTGTCCATCACCTTCAGACAAGCTGTTTGGGTGGGGGTGTAGGTGTGGGGGACTCTGGAGCTGAGATGCTCCATCCCACTCCCTGTGGCCAGGCCAACACCTCCCCTCCATACAGGTAGCCTGCCCCAAGGATTCTTCACACTTCTTCACACCCAGTCCCCAATGTCCCCCTGAGTGACCACCACTGTGAGCAGCCCTGTGCCCACCCCCAGCAGGCCTGGGTTCAGATCCACCCCCAACCCCCAACCCCCACCTCGCAGGTTCCTACTTCCTGCTGGACTTTCTCAACCATGACTTCTGAGCTGCAGGAGCAGCCCACACACCCACCCCCTCCCCACAGGTACAGCCATGCTCCTTGATGCCTCGACCATGAAGTGGATGGTGGGCGGGGTTACATGGCTAGATCCACACAGCTCCTCTCCCTCCCCCAGGGCTCTCCGAGTCCAGGCCCAGCTTTCCATGTGGACCCTGAGTGGACCGCCCTCCTTTTCTGGGATGATTGTTTCCAACACACCCTAGCCCCACCCTTCAATGTGCCTGGCAGAGACAAGAGGCCCAGGACACGTCCCTGGTAGAGGTGCCCTCTCTGTGGCACCCAGACTCACTGGCCCCTAACGGGGGCTGTGTTTACCCCACAGCCAGAGGACGATGATTTGAGGACCAGTTGGGGCTGGGTTCTCCTGGACTGGCCTGCCCTTCCAGAAAAGGCCTGGATATGGCCGGGGGATGTGGCCAGGCCAGAAGCGCTGACCGGGGAACACAGGACCTGGTGGTGCTCTGGATCCCCATGCTGGGAGCTGATGAATGAATCCCCTGCCTCCTGTCAGTCCCTTAGGCAAGAAAGGGATCCATGGGGCGTCGGGGGTGGGGGTCTCTCACCAGCCCTTTTCATGCCCCCTCCAAAAGGGTTGAGGCTCCTGAGAGTGTTGACAGTAACAGAGCCAGGCCAAAGACCCCACAGGGTCACATGGGTACAGACACTGTCTCGATTGGCAATAGATGTTAGTGACTCCTTCCTTATCCACTAAGTGCCCCAGGGCCAGAGAAACAACAGATGGGACGGAGGAAACAATGGGACTTGAGGATCAGCCCCCCCAACTCTAGCCCCCGCCTGGTGAGGTGCTGCTGTACCCTCCTGCCGCTGACTGTGTGACCATGAACGGGTCCCCTCACCTAACCAGCCCTGACCCCACTAGGGACCTCATCCACCAGTAGGAGAACTTTTACTGATCCAAAGTCAGGACCTAATCACTGTTACTCCAGCTGTCTGGGAACTGAGACCCTGTCCACCTGGAAAGCGAGTCTCACTGGCCCTCTTCTCTATCAATCAGCTTCCCCTTGTGCCCCATGAAGGACAAGAACCCCAGGACTGCAGCATGGGACCTGTCCCTGAGCCCCTGCTCCTCCCAAGAACTCCAGAGACAGGCAGGGGCTCTGGCTCAGACGAAATGGTGTCGGGGTCCTGGGATATCTGGGACCATGTTGAGGACATTTTGGGGGTGGAGAGAGTCTGCCTGTCCATTTCAAGCCAAGCGCCCCTGCCACAAGCTGAAGTCCAGAGATCAGGAAGGACAGGGAGGGCAGAAGGGACACCAGCCTTACCTGCCTGCTGTGCGGTCAGCACGGTCACTAGGACCCAGGCCAGCGCCCAGCACCGGCTTCTGGTGCCCATCGTGGGCTGGCACGGTGGTGGGTGGAGAGGAGGGAGATGAGGAGTAGGTGCCCGCTGCCCTGGGGGCCGGGGTTTATGTAGCAGGAAGCTTTGGCCCAGTGCCCTGGTCCTAGGCCACCCGGGGTGCGTCCCCCTCACCAGCCACGTGTGTTTGCTATCAGGGAGGGGCCATGGACAGCAGCAGGAAGGAGGGTTTGCAGCTCTGTGCCCAGGAGATGGGCTGCCCTGGACCCCCGCCCATCCCAAAGCACCTGAGAACTTAGAGGAAGGGTGGTCCCAATGCAGCCTGAAAGGAGTGGTCCTGCTGCAGTCCCCAGCCTGGGCCCACAGAGGGAAAAGGGTGCTCAGCAAGCCTGTCTGCCACACTGCCCATGCCCACCTGGCCCTGCTGAGGAGTGGGACTGAAGGGAGAATGGCCCTGGGGGGGGGGGGGGGACCAGGGGGAACACCATTGGATCCCAGGAGTGGGAGGGGACTGTCAGCTCAGCCTGATCCGTGGGGTCCAGGCAGTCTGTCCTGACCCAGCTGTGCTGGCCAGAGTCCCTCATAAACCCAGGGAGCTTCCCTTTCCGCCTCGAAGTTCTGGCCATGGGGAACCGAACTTGGGAGACAGATACCCCAGCAGCCTTCTGAGAGCAGACGATATCTAACCTGCTCCCTGCACCGCAGAGGTCAAAACTCTCACCCAGTGCTACTACATCCACTGGCCTTGTGCCTCACCTGGCCGCTGAGATGAAGGGGATGTAGTAGGACTGGGTGAGAGCCAAGTGTCCAGATCTCCCAGTGTCCACCCTGAGAAGATCCCTGAAGGCCCACATCCCAACCCTGATGCCAGGGAAGTGGGCCAGGGGGTATAATGGCGTAGTCTGCCTGGTTCAGCAACCCTCGGCAGCTAACCGAAAACATCTCTTCTCTCCAGCCCTGCTGAAGGCATTCTGCCCACTCCAGCCTCTCCTGAATCGTTTCCCTGTTGTTCTTTCAATACCACTGGACCCTCTCACGTAACCTCTGAGCCTGTGGGTGCTCCTCGGGAGGAAAGCCCGTCGGGGGCACACGGTGGGCGGCAGAGGGTATTAGGACAGGTGCCAGGTTTGTAGGTTAGTTTGTTGCTCCCCCCAACATCTCCTCGGATCTCCCTGCATGTACATCTCATTCCTTTCTGGAGACGGATTAATTCCTAGATGTGGACAAACAGAAAGCCCATCTTAAAAAGCTTTCAACTCCTTTTGCCTGATGTCTTCCCTTTGGATGGCCTACATCCCCAGAAGTTTCAGGTGTATGGTTCTCAGATATACGAGAATTGTATCTGAGACTGGGGTACCAGCTGCTTTTCATATTGTCTGTGGTTTCTCTAAAGTGGGGTGCGCGTGTGAGAAGGATTGGTCGTGCTTCCTAGGTGGGGGTCTGTGGTAGGCTGGGTGAGTCCTGAATGCCTTCAGCCCTCTCAGATCTGAACTTTGGTGGGGTTGGAGGCAGCTGAGACCTCAACTTGGGCGCACTTGGTGCCCATTCACATTTGGGCCCTGTTAGGGTACTCAGGCTATCCTCACTGTCACCTCCAGGGCTTGAGGTCTGTGAAGTCCTTCTTCACACTCACCTCTGGGGTTCCCAGCACTGGACTGGGGATGCTTCTGGGGGGGCCAGTAGCCCTTGCATGAGCAGTAGGTGGTCATTGATACTAGGGACTTCATCCCTTCTAAGGTAGGATATATGTGCTGCTCCAGGAAGGATGCAGGGACCTTTAGACACAAAATCCAACTTGGCTGAAATCCCTGAGCCCACCTTGTTCTCTCCCCCAGGCTGGGATTTTGTCTCTCTGCCCACACTGACCACAGCCAATATGCCCTAGTCTTCATGCTCCCACTTAGGGGCCCCCCAGCCACTTTGATGGTGGCCGCCTGGTCCCCAACTCATATGCCCACATCACAGACGTGAGCTGTCCTCGGCTCCCAGGTCCATTGACTGCCCTTCAGGTTCCCCACCCTGGGGACAGGGGACTCTCCAAGGGGTTCCCAGAAGGCGCATAGTAGGTGCTCAATAAAGGAATGTGTTGAACGAATAAGGGGTGACTTGGTTGCGGTCCTTGGCCTTCCCACTTCAGGCAGAGGGCCCTGGGGGTGGGGTGGTCTCAGACTGGGGTTGGTGGGGGTGGGGAGAGGGCCTGCCCTGCTCGGCTGGCAGGGTCTGGCTGTTGAGACATGCCGGATGCGGCTGCAGAATGCTCGACCTGTTTGTTCAGCCAGTTTGCCTCTTCACAGTTGAGGGAACGGAGAACAGAAGATAAAGGAAGGGGAGAGGGGAAATGGGCTGTTCCTGCTGGGAAGGAGGGGCCCCCGCCACGGCAGACAGCCAGTGTGCCAAAAACCCGCCCTACAGCTTTGTCCAGTCCTACCTGGCTATTGGGGGCTGGCCCATGGGGGCGACAGGAGTGAACTGGGCCAGAGAGCCCCATGGGGCCCAATCCTTCCCTGAGGGAGAACTCCCCCCAGCCACACAGAACCCCCTCCATCAGGCCCAGAGGTCATTGTAACCGTCTATCCCAGGCCTGGATGGAGGCCAGCGTGGCTGGGAGCAGCCCAGGGTCATCCACTCCTGCTGGACTGATCAAGGGCTGTCTGTGTTCCTGGCTCCTCGGCCCTATGGAGGGTCTGAGAGAAGAGGGCACAGCCCTGGTGGGGGTACAGGAGTCGCTGAACTCTCTATGTGTTGGAGTCCCCAGCTCTGGGCTGTCCTGGGGCTGAGCAGAGTCTCTGTGTACTGCCTAGTGGTCAGTGCAGGTGGACACCGCCATTTCTCAGATGTTGGTCCCAGCAGCCCTGAACTGTGCCCCTGGGGGCTCACAGACCCCCAGAGGATAGAGAGGCCCATGGTGAGGACAGGCCTGGGCTTTGGGGTGACCACAGTCTATCCCCGACCCACATGCATGGGAGGTTTCCAGTAAGATTCAGAGGGACAAGCCTGGCCATGGGCACATTGGCCACCATAGCCCCTTACCCCCATGTGTCCTTTCCTCTGCCTGTTTTTACCTTCCTCTGTTCTATCCCTCCTCCTTCCTCCCATCCCTCCTCCTCCCTCCCTCCCACCCCTCCTCCTTCCTCCCTCCCATCCTTCCTCCCATCCCTCCTCCTCCCTCCCTCCCACCCTCCTCCTTTCTCCCTCCCATCCATCCCATCTCTCCTCCTTCCTCCTCTCATCCCTTCTCCGTCTCATCCTTCTTTCTTCCTCCCTCCCACCCTCCTCCTTCCTTCCTTCCTTCCATTTTTTCCTTCCTTCTATCCTTCTTCTTTCTTTCATTCACTTCCTCCCTCCTTCCAGCACCATTTTATGGCCCAGCTCTGACATGATGTGAGTTCAGCATAGACAAGGCCTGCTCTCCTTGGAAGGTTCTGCCCGTTTGATGACAAATATGGTCATTTGCGCATCAATGAGAGCTTCAAAAGAAGTTAGCTCAGTGTGTGTTGGAGGAGACTTTTGTAAACTTGGGGAACCCCAGGTCCCAAGACTTCAGGTGGCAAACGTGAAACAGAGGAGGGCACAGAGATCCCTGGTGAGGCTGGAGCTGGGGCTGGCGGCAGGTGGGATAGAGAAGAGGACAGGCTCAGGTTGTGGGAGAACTTGGCTTTACCATGAGTTGGGAAGTGCTGGAGTCTGCAGAGGGTCTTCCTCCTCCTAGGAGACATGGGCCCACTTGTTTGGAGGAAGAGGTACACTGTCTGCAGTTCAGAGAAACCCTGTTGTTGCTACAGAGACTGACGGGGGCTTGAGGTGGAGAAAGGGGGCTCAATGCAGATGCAAACACAGGTAGAGCCGAGCACTGTGAGGGTTACGCCTGGTATTGTTTGTTCAGCCCTCCTGTACAGCTGAGAGTCCTAAGCTGAGAACGGGAAGAGGGTGGCTAGTGGGGGGGGGGGGCCTGGAAGTCCCAGGAAACACAAACTTGAGGGCGGAAGGTGGTGGGGAAGGGCAGATGTGGGGGAGGAAAAGCAAGTGGGGGCAAGTGTGTGAAGGGGAGACTCAGAGGAGGGAGAACTGGGGTGGGGGGAGCCAGGGGAGGGAAAGGGGGGGAAATGGAGAAATCCAAACTGAAGGAGAGAAGTGGGGGTGGGCAGGAAAGGAGAAGCTGGGGGCCAAACACAAGGAGACAGATTGAGTGGGTGACTGGCAGCAGTTCTGGTACCCAGGGCAGAACTGTGACCCGTCCTGGTTCTTGGCAGGCACTGTGGGGGTCCAGGCCTGTCCCATTGGGTACGTGGATCCTCCTGCCTCCAACAATCCCCTTCCCCAGCCCAATCAATGACCTAGAGAAGCCCCCACAAGGCCATGGACTGGGGAGGCCAAAGAGGGCACCCAGCTAGGGGCTGGCAAGGATGCACTAGACTTGGACAGAGGTGGTCCCCCAGCACCCTCGTGGTATTTGTTAAGGATTAATGGGGTGACAAAGCAGCGCCCACGCCTCCAGCAAACATATATGGTGGGTGAGAGGCAGCAGAGATGACAGTGCCCATGGGCAAACATAGTCCCTCCCTTCCCTACAGGAACCCCAGTGTTGACTCAGAGCCCGCGGGCTTGGCAGGACCCTAGGGGAGCCCACGGTTCCAAAGGGAGAGAGTGATGCCCGGTGCCTGGCTGGCCAGGGGGCAGGGCAGCAGTCACACTCTAACCTGAGTCCTCTCCATCTCAGGCCTGGGTGTGATCACCGTTCGGAGTTAGGGCTGCCTCAGCCCTGTGCTTGGGGTCCAGGGGACCCAAGGTGGTCAGGGAAGATGTGTTGGGCAGCAGGGACCCAGGTATGTGTAGGCAGGCGGTGGTCTACTTCAGGTCCTACTGTGGTCTCCCCCAGGCTGCTGGAATCTTCCCATCCTCACCGTCCAATTGACTAAGAGCTGCTGCCAAAACTTTGGACCCCTTTCACTGGCCCAGAGGACTATGGGACCAGACTCAGCTGAGCCCCTACCTAGGAAGCTCACCGCTGCCCAGCAGAGCAGACCCAGGGCTCCACCCAGGAAGAGCTGAAGGTAACAATCCAGTGATTTTGACACTGAGTTCATGGAACTTGTCCAGGCAAGGGAGCTGAGAAGGCAGACCTGGCATCAGGTAGAACCATCTGGACATTGAACCTCCCTAAAGAGCGAAGGTCCTAGCTCCTCCCCCTGAGGTGGGCCAGACACTATGGTCAGGGGCTGTGCTGGGCACCAGTCAGAGGATGGTACAGAGATGCTGAACCTTCGATGTGTCCTGGACTTGAATGAGCATGGGAGGGATCCCACACCAAGGGGCACTGGGGATGGGTGCAGGAGGGTCTGTATTGGCGGGCTGGAGCAGAGAGGCTGGCTAGCAGGCGAGTACCTAGTGTGTCCCTGGACCCTCCTTGGTGGACAGCTTGGGTATCACATGCCCAGTGCCCTCATCAGCTGCTTCTTGCTAGCCTGGGGCTCCTGGAAAATGAGAGCGATACACCCCCAGATCTTCCATGCGGGCACCAGCCTCACTGAGGCTCATTCATCAGTCAGGGCTCCCTCAGGTGAGGCCAGGCTGCCCACAGAGGAGAGATGGGAAGTGCCTACCAGAGAGGACCCCATAGAATGGGACCCTTCCCCTCCCTAGGTTCCTATCTCATGGAACTGAGGGGCTGGGGAGCTCAGCGACTGACAGGACAGCCCGAAGCTGGGTAGAGGTGGGTGGCTCCTACCCTGGACCTTGGAGCAGGACTTGGCCACCTCGGTTGTTGGCACTGCCTGTCCAGGGACTCTGCAGATGTGCAGGAGCTGAGGGCTGTTTGCTTGGGGGAGGGACTATCCTTCCACTGTGCCTCCTGTGACCTACAAGGACCCCTCCCTGAAGTTCTCGACCAGCCCCCAGCAGACAGCCCCAGGGTTGGGATCTGGGGAAGGTGGCACGAGCTGGCAGGGGCTCGTGGGTGGGAGGATGGTAGGATGTTTGGCCAGCTCTCTACCTCATGTTGAGACTTGGATGCAGTGTTTAGGGGGCCCATGAGCAGAGGAACTCCTGGGAGGGCTCAAGGAATGAGGTCCAGCCCTCAGTCACCAGCCCTGTCACTGTCTGCCCACCCCCCAGAACCCTCCCCAGCTGCCCCAGGCAGGAAGACTCAGCCTTCCTTGCTACCCACGTCTAGGGAGTGTCCAGGACCTTGCTCCCCCTCTTGGCCAGCCCCAATCCCCAACATGCATCGGCGCTCTTGCCCGGGCTCTGAGGTGGGGGTCCCCAGATTAGCCAAGGTAGGCAAAATGCCATCAGGCAAAGTGAGAATGAGTGTGGGGACAAGAGTCAGCCCACTGTGGAGTAAATCAAGTCATCCCCACCCCGTCCTGTGCCAACTCCGCTCCTTCTCACAGAGCCCCAGCCCTGTCCAGCAGCCCCTAAATTCACTCACCCCTTCTCTGCTACCCACACCCAGGCTCCTGGAACCCGTGCGGCCATAGGTGATATCACAGTGGCCTGGGGACCTCACCGGCACTCGGATGTGTGTCTTTCTGATCACTGATGAATTGCAGCTTCTCCTCAGGAGCTCATCAACCTCCTGGACCCCATCAGAAATTCGCATGACCACGCCTTGGTTAAGGAGCTCTGGTGGCGTAGTGGTTACGAATCGGGCTGCTAACCTCAGGGTCAGCAGTTCGAAACTACCAGCTGTTCTGCGGGAGAAAGATGAGGCTTTCTGCTCCCATAAAGAT